GAACGTAGCAATCCAGGGAGGGTTGAGGGGTTTGAAGGGTTTGAGGGGTTTGAGGCGTTTGAGGGGTTTTGAGGCCTGGTAAACGACACAATCTATTTCCACCAAAAACTACTCCAAAACAGACTCAACTGCTCGCACATTCGGGGCCAAACGTTGCGTCTGGATCCCTAGAAAAAAAAACTAGTACATTCTGGCCCATCCGTACCCTGTGAACCTGAGCACCGGCACAGACCTTGCCACAAGAGATTCACAGGCACCGGCATCCATGGTGAGCACTCCCACACCTGTAATCCCTGGCGCGCTCCCCCTTTCTTCAGCCGGGGTCGGCGGATATATATATATATATAAAGCATGACATATATATATATATACACAATTGTATTATATATATATATAGATAGATAGTAGAAAATCAAGATACAGATGATACAATCTCAGGAAGATACACAGCAGGTCCTCGCAGACAGACTTGTGGGCTGATTTATGCAGGGTCCTCACTTCCAGGGTATATGTATGTGTTGGGAGTGGCCGTTGCCATCGCCCACGTGGCAAAGTGATATAGAATGCACCCTGCTTCCAGCAACTGAGGCAGAAAATTGAGCAAGTAGACCACCAAGATCAAACAGCTTGCATAAATGATTTCATAAACGTTATTCCACAAAACTTTGTATGACATGCTGTGTGCATCCGTGTGCCAAGTCTTACTCTACCTATCTCCTACCTCCTTCCCGTTCATGGCATTTCTGCCATTGCACCAAGGCCTCAGTGACTCTGCCAAAACGGCAGAGTTGCTGCTGAGCAGCGCAACAAATGGACTGGTGGCTGGGACTTCGAAGTGAGAAAGGTTTGGAACATTCTTTCTAGAATAGGGAGACCCCCCAACATTGCCATTGAGTCTTGATTCGTCTATTCTTGGTCTCCATGTTAGATCTTGGAGGACGGGATGCCCTGGAAGAGCGGTGCGCCAAACATGTCGCTGCAGATATGTCGCACTGCGATTTGCAACTGTTTCTAGCATATCCCAACGCTCAGATGCAAGAAAGATGCCATCCGATTATACCCATCGCCCACCCCAGCATTTTGGATGGTGAGAGTCAAAACCGCCCCCTATTCGTCCATTGACGGGAAAAAATATGAACAAACATATTAGTGGCAGGGATAAAGGGTGGGGGATGTTTTGAAGCTGGACAAGCCTGGATGGCCAGTCACCAAGGTTGCTTCCAGTAGCTCCTGGCATAGCCTGACGAACCTGGGCTGGGCCCTTTGCCGTTTGGACGTCTCCGATCAGCTACGCCAGGCTGAGTTGGATGATGGATGTTTCTGGCAGTGCTCAAGAAATCACAGCACCGACAACAGAGAGAGAGAGAGAGAGGGAGAGGGAGCGGGAGTGGAAAGGCCTGTCATCCTTTTCCTCATTGTTTCTCCCTGCTTTGAGCCATGCCTAGGTCCCAGGTCCCTGAAATTGTGACACCATTGGGTTTTCGCATATGTTTGGTCCAGTGTTTGGTCCACCTTCTTTCGCATTTTTGAGTGAAAGTCACCAAGCTGGTGAGAAAACATCCAGGCAGTTATGGACCAAATCCTGCAGCGTGCAATGGCTTTGGGCTTGGAAACTGCACCTGGACGTGATCTTCCGGTGCTCCTTTGGGCATTGGACACTGGGTTGCAACTGAACCAGACATTTACAACATGTACCACGTAGCTTTGGCATGAGTCGACTTGACTGCTTGCCTCGGACATCCTAGGCCATGGCCCAGCGACAAGGCACAGAGCTGGTGCTGACCTCCTTGCTCAAAGATCTATGGCGGACACTGCTTCTGCGCTTGTCAGAAGTGCCGCCGCAGGGCCTTGCCATGCTGTGGCTGAGATGAAGGGCACTGGGTTTGTCCTTTATGGAGCTGCCCATGCCGCAGCCACCCATCCCAAGCTTGGATTCCTGGTCCCTACCACTGAATTAGCACCCCCTTTTACAGTGCAATATATCGGCCCATTATATTGAACACTAATTAGATTCTTAATGATTATTTGATTCTCCAATGAATGCTTGGGATGTTGGAGTTGCTCCAAGAACAGCTTGTGTCAGGTTTGGGGCAGGTGTGCCAGAGTTCACCTGAGATTTGTACAGGCAATCCAAGTTGAGCTTGTTGGAGGGAAGGATCAGAACAGCTACACCTTGTAAATGCTTCGTTGTGGGATGTGTGCTGTAGTCATTGCAATGATGTGCAGTGTCTTTTTGGTTTGAGTGTTGTCTCCTGGTAGTGCTGAAAAAAGGGGATTTTACTGGCTTCCCGGCTTCCCTCCGACCAAGCGATGCTGAACTCCGCACACGTTTCGCACTGGCAGCACGTTGAGGTTGTGGTCTTTTGCTGCCTTGGACTCGGACTGGCCCGTGCCCAAGCAGACCTATGGCGCAGTACTAGAGCAGGCCGGAGCAGTGCTAGAGTGCGAAAGGTCGGACGCACCCGCAGCACAGTAGTGCGTCCCAGCTGCAGGTGGAGCGGGAAATTGGCCAGCTTAAGGTGCGCCTGAAGTGTCATGCACAGTTTGCTTGGATTCTCGGCCAATCCGTTCTGGTTTTGTTCATGTGGCAGTGGTGTCATTGTTGGTTGTGATATGTTGTGATGCTTGACCATCAATTCAGAGAGGATGGTAGAAGGACATTTGCAGCTTATTATATAGATGGGTTGAGGGGTGTCCGGACTTTCTCCTGCACTATAGCCTATAGCCAGGTCAATAGGATAGAGGAGGACACACATGTTAGCGGAGAATGCCAATTCCGATCGCCAGGCTCGCGAAGTGGCAAACATCACCTGGTCTGTAGCCACTGTACAGGCAAGTTGTTTGACAGGAGGTTGAGCTTGACCATGTTGGAAGGTTTGCAGGACCAGAGTTTTGCAATCGAATTATTTAACGATTTGAGAGCTAGGCGGCAATGCCAACATGGCTGCTCGAAGAGCTTCCTGAACATGCTGCACAGCGACTTGGCGTGGGGGGAGAAAAACCATGGAAGATGTAATCATGACGGACATGATTGCATCAAACAATGCAATCAATACATAAATGATCATTCATAAAAGAATGAAGAACCCATTATAATATACATGAATTCATGTCCCGTTCACGATTCATTCATTCAATGAATTCCTCGAAGATTCGCCCGATGTGGATGGGTTTTGAGGCCCCCCGAGTGGCACTTCCGAGGTTCGGCCCCCAGGAGTGCGCCAACGTCTTGTGGTCCTTAGCAGCCCCTAGAACCAGCAGTTCGAAGCGAGCGAGTGGGGCTGGAGGATCAATCCTGTTTTGCCATGAATGAATGTTTTGCATCTTGAACCTCAAGTTTGGCAGGCTGAACCACCTCCCCCGCCCATGAGACTCAATCAAAAAGATCCAAAAGGCCACTGAATCAGCTTTCGAAGCCTGTGGACTCGACTGCCACGTCGGCCACGGAAGAGTTGTTGTTTCCAAACTCTCGGGGTGACTTAGGGGAAGGATGTGTATGGGGACGCCAGATCGCGCCACATCGCCCAATTGCCATGCCAAGACCACCCAACTCATCCAACAGTCCCAGGTTTTGGCCAGTTCGGGCGGTCCCACTTCGGTTCCCAACACGAGCGTCGCTGTTTGGATATCTCAGGTCACCGCCCAGGTGGAGACCATGGAGTCCTTGCTGCCCTGCCTGGACGGCGGAGTGGCCCTGGCAGACTTCAGCCACTGGAAGCCGCAGGTCGGCGGGTTGGTCAGTTTGGGTCTTTTCGCTTTGCCGCAGCGAAAGACAGAAGAGAAAGCTCGCAACAAAAAATACGTGTAGCCCCATTGGTTCGAAGGAGGCATATGGCATAGTCATATATGATCAAATATAGTGTAATACAGTCAATTAGTTTGTTGCACGTCTTTTGGAAGGTTGGAAGTTTTTTAAAGCTCACCTGGACGATTTATGCACCACTTGATGGGAGTCACTCCCACTATCTCCCGCTATTTCACTATTTACATGCTTGTTGTAATTTTGGTGAGATGGTGCCTGTGCTACGGAAGCCCATTCTCCATGGCCAGGAGATGGCCAGCGCTGCTTGGGCTTTGGCCATTGTGCTCCAACGGCGTCCAGGCGTTGCTTTGGACCACGGAAGAGAATCGTAGAAGCGCAGATCCTAAGAATGCACATGCAGACTTCCTGAAGCTACATTGAACCTTCCAACATTCGGCAAGTTTTCTAGGCTTCCCTGGACGCTAAAACATTTTCAAGAGTCTGAACATTTTCAAGAGTCTGCGAGCCAGGTCAATCGAATCGTTCGCGGCTGGATCTTCTGGGGCGGCTCCGGCAAGAGGCGATGGCCAAGGTGGATGAGTTGGATGGAAAGGAGTGGTGTTTGGCGAACATATGACAGATGTTATTGAACGCCAGGCAGCTGGATAGAAGTTCATGACTTGAGGAGTCGCGAAATACATATTCTTTATATTTTTAAAAATATTCTTTAGACATGTGACATGAGTTGCATTATTATACGGTTACAGTACAATACTACAGTACACACTGTAGTAATTGAATATGCTAGGCAACCGTGCATCAGTGGGTGCATTCCAAGTTCTTTTTGAAGCTTGGTTTCACCTATTCGATAAGTTGTCTACTGCTGCTTCGCGGCCCAGGAGCTGTCGATGCTTTCCTCAGCTCTAGTGCCCGGAGAGGATGATAACCTGGCCACCAGGACTCGAGCACCGGCAGCGGGTTCACTGGTCACCGAAAACTTGAATGGGCAACTGGACTTGTATTTCGATAGTTGAGTCATGTTGGACCTCCCTAACCAACGGATTAACACACATATCATTTTGGTTCTTCCATGCTTTTCATGCAGTCCGGTGCATGCCGAACTCACGAGTGTTCAGTACCTCGCCAAGTAGCTGGCGCTTGGTGAAGTGGAGCATGTAGTCATGCCTGTAACTGTGATAGCGCTTGCTATACCCATTGTGGTGAAGATCGCTGAAAGCGAAGAAGCCAACATGGGGGCTTGACCAGCTCGGGCGCGAGGATCATGGAGCGGGCCATGGGTTTGCATGCGAAGTGCCAGCTGGCACCTGATGCCGTGATGCAACTACGATTCCTGGTCTTAAGACTTTCAGGTGCAGTTTGCATCTTTCACTGCCTCCCATCATTTTGACAGCCAAGTGGAAACTTGCTATTCTCCCGACAGATTTGCTAGAGCTTTTATTGTCCTGGGACCTCTCCTAAGTGGTGGAAGAGAAGATCCACTGTGAACCGTTGACAGATATTCAAGTGCCATGTAAGGGCTTTGATGGGTTTTGCGATGTTTTGTGTGAACTTGGTGTGGATGCCTCGATGGCAAAAAGAGAAGCGGCTTACTAAAATGAAAGGAATGGCAATGTGTACAGTACAGGCAGAGGTGAGATTTGAGGTGGAGATCCCTTCATGGGTGATTCCAGGGTTTTGATATCAGGAGATCACCTGCACCGAATGGGGATGGTTTGCAGCCTGGAGAGTGCAGCTGAACAACTGGAGGATGAGGCGCTGGAGTCGCTCAAGAAGGCCAGGCTCGTGGTTCCATGTCTTTCATTTTTGGGCTTCTGCTGGGTTCTTGCGGGTATGGGCTGGTGAGACGATCCTTGGATCCTATAAGAATTGCAACTAACTATATAGTCCTATACCATCTCTCCTATGGCTGATGTGCCGGGACCAATCCATTTTTTTTTTTTGGGTTCAGGAAGCGTCGAACAGCCTGCTCCATTCTCTTCACTTGATCCAGCTCCGCATTTTTTTTCAGGGCGACGACGTGGCCGCTGCCCTTCAACGCCTCAAGCTCACCTGCCTGGGTCAGCGCACCGAGTCCCTTTTGCGGCGCTTGGGCGTCACGGTTGGGGTGCCGGATGAAGCAGCAGAAGCTCGGAGGGCGGAAGTGGAAGTCACTCATGAAGGGGTCCAAACCATCACCCCCCACTGACTGACTGGTTTTGGCCCATGGATGGTGGGAATGGTGGGGCCTTTTGTGGATGCTTGGGATTTGGCCTAGCTGGCGTCGAAGAAGTCAGAGGGAAAGGCACAGGCAGAGGAAAAGGGTGGGGAATCGGGGAAGTAGGATGAGTCACAATGAGTAGCAGCAGGATGTGTGTTGAATTCTTCCCCCGATGATTTTTTAGTTTTTTTCCATCTGGGTTGCGGGTCTTAGAATGTTTTGCTTGTGCGTTGCTCTGAGAAGACTGACGGTCACACCTGTCAGAGTTGTTTTGGTTTCTATGGGCCTATGGGTTTCTAGGTTTGTGAATCTGGCATAATATGACAGTCATCGTGATGTCAGGTCGGATACGTGGCAGGTGTTTGCACGTGGGCACTCCCACTTCCATTGGACCGTCCTAACTGGCAAACCGACTGGGCCATGAAATCGCCGAGGAAGATTTGAGCCAAGCAGCGGCTTTTGGACAGGTCCTGTGCTTAGCCAGGAGCTCAGGGCTTTGCAACAGGACCCACGTTTGCTTCCTGACTGGCCCTCAGGTTTGGGAAGATATGCGCACGCACACAGACACATTTACGCATTTATATATTTGCTCTTCTTTGGATCGTCGTTAGCCAACTTCATGTATGAATTAGTTTGCAAAGCAGATCAGATCAGGTGTCCTATGCATTGCAATTGGGCGATGAGAGCCTGACAGAAGCTGGGAGGGTGGTGGCCAGTGGTGGGAAGGCCAGCGGAGGACTGCATGTGTGATCATCCATTTAGGCTCCTGGCTGAAAGGCATCATGTTTATTGATGAGACTGCGCAGCACTCGCTCCCATAGAGCATGCGTGCCGCACGCATGACCGAGATTGGCCGCTAGTGTTCCGCCTCAGCGGCCACAAGACCTCCCTTGCGGCAGGCATCGGACTCTTTTGATCGCATAGGCATGCATAGACCAAGAATGTGCTCGCAGGAGTCCCTTTGAAAGCTGTCATTCTGCGCTACCCGCGTGAGCGTGATGCTGAATTCCTAGCATTGATCCTTGGCTTGGAGGGTCAAGCGGTGGGGGTGCAAGATGAAGCCTCAACCAGCTGGGTCTTCCAACCGTGCACAGTGTTTGCCCTTTGGCTGGTTGGTATGGACGAAAAGGCAGAACTGCCCGCCTTCTTGGAAGATCCGAGGTATGAACCCCTCTGGCAGACGGATCTGCTCGGTTCGTGCCACCCGGCCAAGGAGCTCGGTCCTGGAGACCTTGTCCCAAGTACCTGCTGTCTCGCTGCGGGACGTCACCGGCCAGCTGCAGCTGCATGTCACCCATACCCCTTGCCTTAGCTGCGTGTGGGCTATGGCATCATGGCTGATGTGAATCATCCCGTCCCCACCAATTGGGTCAACCTCCAACGAATTCCCATGAACCCTGCCGTCTCGCTGCGACTCTACGGCGTCGCGGCGTCGCCGGCGTCTGTCGTGGCTCACCAGCTGAGGTGCAGTTTCGAGAGGCGTGTCCGAACGTGCAGCTCCAAGTGACCTTTGACAGCGGCTGAGGAGAAAAAAGAAACAGTAGGGCTCATCACACGGTCGAACCGCGAGAGGCAGGCAGGCTTGTGGGGTCGGGAATGGGCCAGTTTGAGAAGCTGAAGCTATATAACGGGAGATGGTGGCATTGATCTGAACGTGCATATATAAACTCCCCACCGTGCTCTGCGTCTTGTGCAGCCGGTGCCGTGCAAGCCCTCACATCCGGGCCCCTTCGAACGAAAGCCTTGCAAGGGTGCCTGTCTCCACCGAGCGTGTGGCCAGGAAAAACACCGGCATGTCCCGAGCGGCCGTGAGCTGGCTTTGAAGATCATGCAGGTGGTTCCGTATTTTTATTTTTTTTTCGCATAAGTTGTTCCGCTACCCCGTGACGACGGCGCCATGGTCTTGAGGTTTGGATCTGAGATGATGGTCCCCCAGAAACATTTTGGAGATGTTTGGAGAAGGGAAGTCAAACTTCATTGTTGGGAGTTTGCTTCACAGTTTCCTTGTTTGACCATGTCTCACCTGAATCAAAAGCGCAGGCCGGGGACATTGCTGAGCCACAGCGAAAAGCCATCTTGCTCGAGCTCAGGACCTAGCGCGTCCCTGTCAAAGATCTACCAAGAATAACATGCATTTTGTTTCACATGTCACATGCCTCGTGATAGTGAAACTTCCTGGGACAAAGCCTATGTTAAGCCTTCAATGCATTTTGTAATTTTGTCCCGCTTTGTTTTCCGTTGTGCCCCGTATGGTCCCCAGCAGTTCGTGCCTATGTCTTGAACAATTGACTAGTAGCAACATTTCTGCTTATGGCTTGCAGGACCTTCTCAAAGTGCAGAAGTCCGCATATAGCCACCCGGCGAATGGAGAAGGATATTAATAAAGTTATAGGTTATAGGTAAAGGAAAGCACAGTAAGTTAAGGTTTGGGGGTTGTCACTTTCACAGATGATATCAGATGACAGGTCGACTACTACGGCGCCTTTTTTCATGATCCTTGGCAGTTTTGGCGTTGGCGATTTGCGGACGTTTGTGTTAGGGGGGGTTGGGCCTCAATGTTGACTGCAATGTGCTGCGGCACTCGACCGATGATGCAGAGAGAGGCTACTGCGAGGTGGAAGGTGGCATCAGGCCAGCCTTGCTCGAGAATGTGCTGAAGCGCAGCTCAGTTTACACACAGACACGCTGGCAGCTGAGGACAATCGGATATACATGGCGCTGGAGTGCACCTAGCATCGCTTGCCGCCGGTCCACGGCCACGAATCTTCTTGAAGCATTCTAAAGCCATATAGAGATTGAATTGCAGTGAATGGGGTTCAGAGTGGTATGTGACCTGGTGTTCTTTGGTGGCACGTTTGACAAGATTTGACACCGCAGCAGCCACTATATATTTTATATAGTTGTAGAATAGCGAATCGTCCCTGTACCAAGTACTTTATGTACTTTTCAATTGAGTCTCACCAGGCTTCAGCTGCCCACCTGCTTCTGCTATACATGGCCGCAGTTCCTGTCAGAATGTTCGTCTGCCAGGTACATGAACGCAGGGCCGCTGTCTTCGATCCTTGCGGCCAAGAAGAGAGCAGCTGGATGCTCAGGATGCGCCAGGAATATCCAGGAATCGTTAGAGGAAGCGACTTGTTTTTCCCTCTCAAATTATACCAGCATAGACCCCAAACAGCGTCAGCATTTGTTCGGCGTCGGCGTCAACTCCGAAAATTCCAATGTTGGTGGAAACGAATGCAAGTATACTTTTCTAAAGCCTCCAGCTGTTTGGGAACTGCACCTAAACAACTTGCTCCCACTTAGTGGTATATATTGTAGTCATTTTTTTGGCGTTGGAGATATTTCCTGGTTTGTTTTCTTTTTAAACATATTTTCAAAATTCGTGTAAGTGGAGTGACTGTGGTGATTGACTATAGTGTGTTTGTACATATGTCCCCCGGGATAGCACGTTCGAAATGTTCAAATCGTCGTGTCTCATAAATTTCTCTTGGGATTATGAGTTAAAAGTTTAGGTGAGCAGTGTGGTTGTGGCTGGTGCCCTCATGTCTGCCCGCGCACTTCAGCGATCTAAGCATCAGTTGCTTTACCACCACCGTAAGAACCCCTAAGTGTGTCCACATTGTTGGTGAATAAAGAGACTTTATTATTACAACTCCATGCATGAACCATAATCAAACAGGTCCAACAAGCGTGGTTTGAATTGGATGAGGCACACAGCTTTTATCTTCAATTGTAACGGTACTCTTTATATCTTTGATTTCGAGTGTGCAATATTTAGCATTCTCGTGTTCTCACCCCTTTTGTTGAAAGGCTTTCTCGAAATTTTTGAAAACACCAGTTCCTGATGTCTGTGTCACATGTGCAAAACGATGGGATACCGGATATATATGTCATGAGAAGAGCCGATGGTGATATCGCATTTCGATCGCTGTATCACTGTTGCATTCATACCCAGACAAGGCGGTGGAGATAGGACAAACGGCGTGGCCAAGCAGGGGACAAGGCCCGGATAAGGCGGTGATAGAAAGGCTTATAACGTGGACAAGCAGGACAGGCAGACCTGGACAAACAACAAAAAGAAGGACACGGGGATTGCGACCGTGGCACCAGGACAGCAGGGAACACCAGGAGGTTCGCAAGCGTGGACACTAGAAGCAGGAGGAAGACACAGGGTTCGCCAGCGCGGCCAAAGGACGAGGAGGACAAAACGAGGATGAGAGGAGGAGGAGAGGAGGACAAGAGGAGGAGAAGAGGAGGACAAGAGAAGGACAAGAGGACGACAAGAGAAGGACAAGAGGAGGACAAGGGAAGGACAATAGGCAGCCAGAGGACGACAATGGGACAAGAGAAGGACAAGAGGAGGAGGAGAGGAGGACAAGAGGACGACAAGAGGAGGACAAGAGGACCAGCGCGGCCAGGGGACAGTTCAGGGGCGCGGCCAGCCAGTGTGGCCAGCTCCTGTTTTCCTAAGACAGAGCCCAAACAGCAGACTATTTGGAGAACAACTCCAAGCCACGTGGAACTATTCCTCTTCTACAGTAGCTTGATAGTCCTTCAGTCTTTAAAGCTGGGACGTGCTCCCAAGCGCTGCAAAACCTGAACGCGAATTAAAGAGAGGGCGGTCGCCAGACTAGACAAGAGCGCATTCCAGGTCCAGAGCGCATCTGTAACATGCCCTCCAAACACCTGCAGAGCGCGCCCGGAGCGCGCTGCCAGCACATCTACAGAGCGCGCCGGAGCGCAGGCCCTTAAGTAAGCACTCTCCCCGAGCGCGCCTGGAGCGCCTGGCGCGCGCCCAAGAAGCAAGCGCTCCAAAGCACGCTCCCCGAGCGCGCGCTGAGCGCTGACCGAGGAGCACAGGAGGAGGACAAGACGGCCCGGACACAGAGCCGTGCCACAGAGTACAGGGGCGCGGCCACGACAAGGACAAGAGGAGGACACAGAGCCGTGCCACAGAGCCCAGCCGCAGAGTTCAGGGGCGCGGCCAACAGAGTTCAGGGGCGCGGCCAGTGAGTGTGGCCAGCTCTTGTTTTCCATTATAGAGCCCTAACAGTATACTTTTTGGAGAAAAGCGGATGCGACTTTCTTCCCCCCCCCCGAAAAACGGAACGAGCTCTTAGAAACTTCACTTTTGCCACTTGCAACATCCAGCAGCGATGACTCAGAATGCTGACTTTCAAGCACCTGAGCAGCTGCTAGCCAACATCACCTGGCAGGTACGGCCGGAGAGGATGATTGGTGGGAATAAACATTGTCCAAAAATTGCAAAGAGATGGCATTCTTGGTAATTTGTTCGGTTGTTTCTGATGTTGGCAAACTCATTCACTTGGTCGAATGCACCGCAGCGCAGGTGCTCGATGGCCTGGAATACTTGCACGGCCAGTGTCTCAAGTCACGGACGCCCCTTGAAACATCACAAGTCGACTCTTAACCTCTTGTACTTTTGGATGGTTTTTTCACACGGTGACCCCACAGATTGTTTGGACGGGACGAGTGCCAAACCGGTCAACTGGGCTAAGCCAAACTTTGAGCAGAGTTGCAAGAAGCGCAGGTGGGTGCAAAGAACAGGCCAAAAAAAAGAGGCCAAAATGAGAGTTGCTACTCCACAATCCGTGTTTCCCTCTCTTCGAACTATTATTTCTTGTGACGAGCCAGTGCCCAGTAGAGGAAAAACACCATTTCACGCCCCCAGAACTTATGAAAACTCCTATTTCTCTTCTCTTGGGTGCTCATTTCATTCTTCATCCCCCTCGCTAAGGCGAGATGCATGTGATCCATCGAGACATCAAACCATCGAACTTGCTGCTCAGTTGGGGTCCCAAGTTGGGACACCTTGGGAACACAGGATGAACCCAAGTGCTGGAAGCAGCTTGAAGAGACTGACAACGGTGGGTTTCGGCGACCAATTGCAGTCTCATTCCAATCTTCTATCTCTGCGCCCGGCAGAGATCGGTCGCAACGTTTCCCGGATCCTCCCATGGGGTGACAGAGATTCTGATTTTGCAAGCAAGTCGGGGCAATGCAAGGTACTACAGGCATCGTCAAGATCACAGATTTTGGAGTCTCTGGAGAGCTGGAGGACGACTTGGAACAGAAGATCAAGGTCACCTTTGTGAGGGCACCCCAGGGGCTTTGTCTTGATTGGAGGTGAAGCAAGGGGCTTTTGGACGGATTTGGGCGGTCATGTTGAAACAGGTGCAATCAAGTTTAACTCGCTCAGGCCAAGATCATGAGGAACCCATTGAAGATCTACATTCAAGCTAGATGCTTGTGAGTTGTTTGCATGACCCTGAGCCTCGGTGCTGAGGTTGGAACCATACACTACATGTCACCCGAACGTGTGGTCGGAAAGCCTTACCAGTACAACTCCGACACGCTCGAGCCTGAAGAGTGAAAACCGCATCACCGATCCACGCGGCAAATGGGGCTTGCTATGGCTTGCATGGCCTGCTACGCCAATGCTACAGTATCAAAGCATTCTTTCTCAGCAGCCCTATCAGTTGCTGGCTGAGGTGGAGCCTGGGTCTCACGCTGATGGAGTGCATCCTGATGCGATACCCGTGCGCTAACGGAACGAAACGGATTTTCGAACCTCAATCTGTGTCACGTTGGGCCAGGTACTCGCGGGAGGAGGACTGATGTAAAAGTGGGCGGGTGTAATGGAGACACATCCCACAAGTGGACGACACGTCGGAAGACACCAAGAAAAAAGACACAAGGGTAGGTGTCATATTTGACTTGTCAGTTGGACCGATCGGGACATACTCTACAGATGCAAGGTAGCGCTACGATATTTTGGAGGGTTATGGGATTTTCAGAGTGCCCCCTACCTCCTTACACAGGAAAGCAGCAAGCTGACAGTCTGGGAGCTCATGAAGCGTATTGACACGCCCGGGTGCCATGTGTCAATCTTGCCGGGCGTGCAGACAATGATGCCTGACCCGGAAACGTCCCTGTCATTTTCAAGACGCTGGTTCTTTGAAGCAATTTGGCAGATCTGATGGCCAATCAATCTTGCTGCAGTGGGTAGAACAGATCTGCCAGATCCCCTTAACTTCATGAAGCAACCAAGCGGCATTGTGTGCCCTCACGCGATGTCTGAACCTTTTCTGGTGCGGCGCTGTCGGCCGAGGGATGAGCCTCCCAGTTTGCCGCCGAAGCACAGCGCCAAGCTGCAGGATTTCCTCCAGCAGGCGGACTCGACCAACCCTGTTGGACTCGGTCCGTGACACCCCCAGTTCAAGGGCACTTTTCACAAAACAGTGTCATCTCCGTGCTATGATCACCTCTGCAAAAGAGCTTGCAGGCTACGGATCCATCCCTACAAAAAAAGATGGTCCATACTTCGTGACTTCGTCCGACTGATCCTGTTCGGGTCTGGTATGGTCTCGTTTCGGCTGCCGAATCTTGGTGAGTTTTGTTCTAGACTCTATGCTTTACCCCTACCGCTGGTTGACTCAATGTAGCACCCTGAACCTTCAACGGGTAGCGAGCTCCAGAGGCAGGGCCCGTGGGCGGCAAACATTCCAGTCCGCCCGATGTTGGAAGGGCAAGATGAAGCTACCAGTGTGGCTAGCATACCATAGAGGCGAGAGTGGATCAAAGTCAGATGGTACAGACCTTCGAACCTTAGAAGGAACAAGTCACTGTCCTTGGACACCTGCAGAAAGTCGCCCAAAGCAGTCACCCAGGTCGAATCATGTCGAAGACCTTTCTTGCGTTTCGACCAAAAAGTCACGTTTCATGTGCGTGCACATGCGTGTGCTGTAGGCTTTGCAGAAGGATCCCCAGGTTCGACCCGGTGCCTCGACCATGAAGGCGCGCGGGCGGACAGGGTTGGGGGACTTCAACCGGTCCTTCCGTGACAGTCTATGTTTCCTACTAGCTTCTTGTTACTACTAGTAAGGCACTTGTTACTACTACTAGCGATGCACTTGTTACTAGAAGCGTGGCACCTGTTCCTACTTGAATAAATAACATTGCAGGCACAGACTTTGGGGGATTCCAACATGTTCACTGAACTTGACATGCATAAAACATCCGGCGTGAGTTCATGTGCTTTGCATCAAGCAAGTACGTGTTTCATGGGTGTAGATACTTGTAACTTGCACCTATGATCCCTGCAGATGGCACTCACAAGTGACTCACAAGATGAAGATTCCGGAACAGATCTTTCCCAGTGTATGTCGACAAATCTATATAGAAGTACTGTACTTCCATTATGTAGCTCTATAGTCCACTCATGTTTGATTCACACCTAGGTCGTAGGTCTTGCTGACTCTGAAAAACATGGTAGCAAGAGATCTGATGAGTTGATGGCGACTGGATCGCTTCATTCATTTCGGTGCACAGAATTCCACCACTCACCGGTGAGGCGCATCCATGGCTGGAGGGCTTCTTCCAATCAACCCACCTCATGGAGCTGGCCATGTGGATTGCACCCCAGGTGCCCCCTGAGGAGGCGATGGAAGGGGCCAAAAGGGGAAGCGCCAGGAACTAGGACAGACCTTAGGCCATTAGGCCAAGCCAAACATTGGAACCAACACCTTGGGAGTGTAGAACCGCGTTGTAGAAGGGACAGTTGGACAAGAACATCTTCTTCTACAACCTTGGGAGTTTGCGTTGTAGAAGAGATTTTCTGGTTCGAGGTCTCGAAGCGTCACACCGTCGGGGCTGGATTTGGACACACTGGGTTTGGGGAGATTCTGATCTCATTAACATAGCACAGATGAGGATCAGGGTATAATACTACCCTTTGGTAAGCTTAGCGCACAGTGGCCACTCTTTCGTAGTCGTAGGAAGCTTAGCGGAAGGTGTTGTTCAAAAATTTAGGCTTAATGACTTCCCACCCGCAGCCGAACCATCCCGACCTAGCTTTGGGTCAGAATCCGCACTCACGAGGGTGACGCCACCGAGCACTGATCAATCACACCTGCCGCGCTTCAGGCACCGCGGCAGAGGCTGATGTCCGAGGGTTTTCCAACGCAAACACAAGATGTCTCACAGTTGTTCTGCTCTTGCAAAGTCGCTCAAGCCTTGAACACCTTAATTGTTGGGCTTCATACTGTACCGACAGCTGCAAGGGCCATGCACTTAAGCAGAGATCTGCAATGGCGACAGTTTGATGTTGTTTTCGTGTGCAGCTTTTGTGAATGCACTGCCGTTGTCCTAGAATCTAGAATAAGCACTCATGGCATCATGGCACGAAGAAGAATCAGCAATCGTCACACGCCATACCACACTGGTCGCTGTTTTTCATCATGAAGGCTTTTGCAAAAAACGGACCGCTTTTCGGGGCATCCCCGCAATAAGCGTCCATCAGTTCCTACAGGTCGCGCCCTAATCCGTTCCAAATGCCCGGAGGAGGTGCGCAATTTGGGTCGGTTTTGGGGGGGGACTTCCACAATTCCTGGAGCACTGCGGACTTTGATCACTCGTTGGAAAAGAGCGAGAAAGAGTGTGCAGAAAGATCGGAATCTGGTCTGGAGTCCCGATCCCTTAGTTGGCGGCGCGACTGCTAGTGTCAGTCACTGGCAGAAAGCAGAGAGCTTTGGTCTTTGAGTCATGGCAAGTCCGCATGGCCAAACTGGCGCAGGGTACCGTGCGTGCAGCCCGGCGAAGTCAACAGCCAAACGCTCAGGGGGCGTTGAGGCAGAAATTCGGATTCAAGGTCCAGCCCGGTAGATCACCGACAACATAGACAGTGTAGAGTCTTAGAGCTTGAACACCTTAGGAATTCGCGTTCCCCTTTGTTTTGTTTCTGGGCCATGTTGGGCTCCAAGGGGACTTTGGGAGTCCGATCTGACCAAGGAGGGCCGTGAGACTCGCGCATCGGTGGGAACTCCACGGCTGCCCGAAGGGAGCCCAGCTGCAAAACCGGTCAGCACACTCAGAGGGCATATCTTAACATTCATTCATGAACCATGGAGCTTCGATTTTGGGAGCAGAAATCACTGAAATCTCTTTTTGGAGGATTGGTTGGTTGGTCCCCATTGGACTCCCTATCATTATCAGTACCGCCCCAGTTGACAAAGGAATGAAGCGTCCTGCGTGATCCTGCGTGTGCGCATGAAACACGCGGGCCCCAGGAGAGCCGGGAGGCTCGAGATGTACCTCCGCGATTACCAGAGGGTAGTCCAGCTAGCAAACCTGCCGTGGACTCAGCGGGCAATGCTGCAGGATGCAGGTCATCCAGGATGCTCGCATATGCTAGTTCACTAGGCCCTACTACCTTAAGCTCCAACTTCTAACTCTTGCTGGGGCCAAGATAAAAGCACTTGAAGGGTTGGTCCTTGGGCCCATGGGTTTGCTTCCCCAAAACGAAGGAAACAACCAACCCAGACCTGCCAGGAAGGCCGGGAGGCTCGAGATGTACCTCCACGGCTGCCGGAAGGCAGCTTGAGACCGCCGTGCCTTGGTCGACCAAGATGCTAAGGTTGGCCTAGCAAAATGGGTGTCACTTGAGTTGGAAACCATGTGAGGCTAAGTGGAGTTGAGATATTTACCAGGCTACCGCCTGCAGCCGCCGACCCCCAAGGGATAGAACCTTAGCGCTAGCCTTGCTCTATGTTAGCCTTAGCCTTAAGCCTTAGCCTCAGCCTTAAGAGTGCAGACCCAACCCAGCACCACCAAAGCAGGTACCCAAAAAGACAGGCCTTAGCCACAAGCCGTAGCCTTGCCGTGCCTAGCCTTAGCCATAGGCTTGCCTTAGCCTTGGACTTAGACTCAGACCTTACTTTTTGACCTTTCCGGACCCGGGGTTTGTTGTAAAAGGGAGTTGTAGGATTTCCCAGGTATGCGTAGAGAATTGCGAACCTATTTTCTTCCATTGTTGTAGAATTTTCTAGGACTTCCTCTTGTGTTTAGGTTCCCAGATTTCCCTAAAAATTGATTAATCTATTGTTAACCTATTTGAATCCAGTGTTCCCGGCAAATGCCCTGGAATTTTCCTAGGAATGCTCTAGGCTTTGTTTAGATTTTGCGCTGGAGGAGGTCCGGCCAGTGCCCGTGGTAACGTGAAAGGCTCTGATAAAAGTTTCGCGTGTCTGTCAGGCGCCCGTATCCGCGCCATGTGGCGTGTTGGTTCTAGGACGGAGCAGCGCAAACGGAAGCTTGGGCAGGTGGTGGCGAGGTGTTCGCGCCAGCAAGGGAAGAGACCGTAGCCATGTACATGCGGGTGGCACGCGCGCGCGTGGCGGAATGCCTGCAGTGCGGTAGGCCGGGGGGGAGGGGGGGGGGGGGAAGGGCGGGGAAGCGGGTGGTTCCACGGTGGGAGGAAGGACGTTGCCCTGGATGTGGGGAGGGTAGGGTTTCCTGGAGCACCCCTGGAGCAAAATGCAGGATCACCCAAGTGGTCGGGTGAGAGGCAGCCGGTGTCTGTGTTGTGCGTTTCCAGCCGAAAACATAACAAAATCTAGACAAAGCCTAGAGCATTCCTAGGAAAATGCCGGAAAAGCCTTTGAAAATCTCATAAACCAACAGAAAACGTGACAAAATCTACGAAAAAAACAAGGGCATTGGCCGGGACCATGCCGCGACCAGCCCGGGATTCGAGCCCAGGACCATTTTGGACCGTGCTTATTTTCCCGCGCGGGTCGAGAGGGTGCCCCAAGATGTAAATTCTTGGACAATCCAGGTCGCTTTCCTGGAGAAATCCCGGCAGGATTTCGTCACTCCGACAAGGGTCCGGAGGGGTAGGGGAGGTAAGGTCTAGGTCTAAGGCTATGGACTAGGTCTAAGGTCTAAGGCTAAGGCTAAGGCTAAGGCTTAAGGCTAAGGCTAACATCGACAGTCACGCCTCACCCCACGGTGTGGGGTCGGCGGATTTAAGATGAATTACTGTAAGTGAAACTTCCAGCCTTTTTTGTTGGAACTTGATCTCTGTAGATTCTGTGATTCTGTAGTATCCACTGTTTTGTGGCATGCCACCGCCACATTAAGGAGGGGACCTCCTTCTGGGCATCTTGGCAACTGGTGTTTGGTGTGAAGTGCCACTCTCCGAATTGGATGCTGATCAGAGACATCCTATGCTTTTCTAAAGGTACATGTGGGATTTGGATTTCGTGCAAGTTCCAAGCCATTGACTACCTTCGACTGCCTGAGACATATCGGGACAACTCAGCGCAACGGAGCTTATTAGCAAACATCAGTTCGCAATAGTTGGCGCATGTGCATTCGCAAACACAAGAGGGAGAAAGGGAGGACAGCAATTGAAGACACACACAATATCAAATATTAACAACATATAACGAAATCACCTGCAAATGCTTCTTAGTCGTGAGGTGACATGATCATGTGGAAAACAGGGGCACCAAACAACTCTGATCGAACAATGGAACTGTGATCGACAAACCCTGGCCAAGGCACACAGCAAGCTCCCCCGAGGCAGATGTGCGTTGGGAGCCGGGCCCTTGGAACGAGTGCGAGCACCAGCGGTTTGTGTCGAGCTGCACATGAGAGCCAGGAGCCTAGTAAGGCTAGGAGCCCCTAGTAGCGTCCTTGCTCCTAGTAAATTATATATAGATTATATTATATAACCATATATATATATATAGATCGATATATCCCGCCGGGTTTGCTGCATTGTGTGTGGGTGTGCACTTAGAACCGAACGTTAACATCCCAACCTACCCCGCCCCACCCCACCCCACTCTCAGTCAGTCGCCTTGTGTAGCGTAGCGTGGAAGAGTTGAAGTATAGAAAAATAGTTAAAAGGACCAACCACGTTTCTGAGCTTCTGGAGAACCGTGTGAGATACACATGCATGCACAAAACAACATGTAAGCATCTTGCCCGTGCAAGCATCCGAACTCCCAAGTACAAGCAAAGGCGCGACGAAAGCCCTCGGAATAGTGGAACAGTTCTGAAGTCGTAAATACAATGTGTTTAATATAAAACGACAAAAACATGCGCGAAACAAGTGCGCATGTTTCGCGCAAATTTCCCAAACAAACGCATTAAAAACGCACCCAAATTACATATGAAAGTGCACGTTACCTAAAATGACTCATTGTCTTGAGCAAACCTGCCTGGATTCGGATATATATATATATAATAAGTATATTGTATATTGGAGGCTGGAGGCCGGAGATGGCGTCATATATTATAGTAATAGCTAAGCCAGGAGCTCGCAGGCTCAGGATGCATTTGCAATGACAGCAGACAACAGGACTTGAGACATGAGCAGAGGCAGAGTAAACAGGGAAAACCAATTCTCATAAATGCACCTAACGGAAGACTAACAAGCACATGTTTCCAGGCATCCGAAGATGGACCAATCCTGGCACGGAGGCGGCTGGTAGGAATCAATTATTGGACTATGATTCTGGATTCAAAGGAGTTTTGCACGATAATTATGCATTGCAATCAACAAACTCCTTGATTGAAGAACTACAAGTCTTACTTTAGCCAAACTATTTTTAGACACGTCATGAGTCATGAGTCAAGCTAGATGATTTTTGATCGCATGGCATACCATGATTCATCATGAAAGAGATGTACATCGAAGGCGATGGCGATGTCCATCTGCTCGCCTGCCAGGTCGATGCAACCCCTTCAGCGCCTTTCAGGCCAATCAGCACGCGTGGCTAGGGCGAGCCCACCGCCCACAGGAATCCACTGGGTGGTCAACCAGTTCGAAGTGCCATGTTCGAAGTCCTTGGGCAGATCGTTCAGAATAAAATTTGCAAGATCTCTCTTGCGTTCCATTGGAGCCTATTCCGCATGTTGGAGTGTAGTGATCTGTTGCCACTTCAAATTGTCTTGGGTTTGGAAATCCAGAGTGCCCCCACTTTTCTGTGAGTTCAACAAGCATCCTTTTTCAGTTCCAAGGACCAGACCTGCTTATGGCAATTGCCCTGGAGTGATATGCTATTCAACAAGTCTAACTGACGGATCTGCTGCATTTGTGCCAGGCTGAAGTCAGTGCATCCCCCGAAGCGCGTTCAGAGGCAAGGTCCAGAACGTCCTCCACAGGCGGGTGCACGCGCAGCTGGGAGGAGGTTTAGTTTCTCGGCTTTTTACATGTGGGTGCGAGGAGCTCCTATGTCTCCAAACAGCTTTCATTGTGACCAGTTGTACGATGACTAATTGCTATGGTTGTGATGTTATATATATATACTGTATATATACGCTGTATTACTATGATTCTTATCCTTTGCCCTTCTTGAACCTTCTTGCTTTCTTGTTGGGTTAGCACCCTTGAGGGTGACTGAAGAGGCGCATGTGTGCCGTCGAGGTCACAGTCCAATATCTGCTGTCAAGACTTGGATGCTTCATGATGCTTCATGATGCTTCTAGCGTAGCTTGCACATAATGGTATCCAGTATAGATTCATGCAGCATCAATTGGTTTCCATTCCTTGCCTCCAACATTTTCAGAGCTTCCCAGCGGCGCTGTGAATGCCACCTCAACGCCACGTGAACACCGGTGTCTGCAGGGGCCGAAGGGGAACTTCTCATTTGAGGCGAGATCGGGGTGTTCGGTGAAGTCGGAGGCGGAGGTGTTCGGCATGGTGAAGATCTGGGGCGGGGGGGAGGTCAACGAAAGTTCAGAGGTTTTGGGTGTTTTGCAAGGAGAAGCACGACCTTGTCTGGTACAAGGTGTGAGATAGGAAATCCGACTCTGGGTTCTTTAGTTTTCACATGTGCACAGTGCTTTGACATCGCAGTGAGGCTAGTAAAACAGACCCAGGAAGACATTGATTTCACTGACTTGCCGTCGCTTATGCTGAACCAGTCTCGCCCAAGCTACTGAATTATGCGCTCACGCTCCCTGCAGGTGCTTTTCAGGCCACCGCACAATCCTTCTCCACATTTCTTTGCCAAGCCTGCACCCTGCATCGGTCACTGGTCACTGAAGCCCTGAAGAGCTTGCGGGACTGAGAACACCCGGAAACATCAGCCCGAGAATGAGAAGTGGCCCCGCCGCTTCGGGGGGGTACAGTCCCCACCATCACTCCCACCATGAAGACGAAGAACCGCCCCCCACCATCCAGTCGTCTTCAGACGAGACGGAACGTGCCCCACACGTCGGGTTCCTGCGCCGGAGGGTCAAGGAAACATGTTGTTGAAACACTATCCACTTCGAAGCAAACCTTCGTTGAGGAAGAAAGAGAGCTGAAACATACGAAGAACAGCATCGTTTTTTGCCAGCAGACCTTTCAGCTTCCACCATGGCATACTATGTCAATCTAGGCAGTGTATAGTTTGAGCTTTTTGAGTGCAGTATATAATATAGCTTGAGCTTCTTGAGTGGCTGCTTTGACGATTTTATTCTGGAGCTATAGCAGCTATGCCCTATCAACAACTTTGCGAGAAAGACACTTCCCAAAACATATATAGAGGGCCATCAGTGGCCATCAGAGTAAGTGGCACATAATGACCAAAAGGGGTCTATATGGACACCCATCTAAAAGACATCTTGGGGGTTGTGTCATCTACTCTGAAACCACTGTAATACCACTAATACCCACCCTTCCACGCAATTTTTCGCAATGCTTGACATGATGACGGTGTTCAACTGTATCACCGGGTCCATGTTCTTTCAGCGGGATTCAGTCACTTTTTGGGTGTGAAATGTGGCCGCAGAGACTTACGATCACCCCTGAGCATACTTAAGCAAATCTTGGCAGCTCAGCCCTCCGCGAAATCTGGATGACCGCATGCGGGGTGCCTGTACAGCCGCCCGGTGGCCGCACAAAAAAAACCGACTCACAGACGTGATTCGCTTGTCTCATAGATTTGCCGAGGATCGCCTTCGACTTAGCTGTGGTAACTTGCGCGAGCAAGTTCAAGACATGCTCATTCCGTGTTCGTTTTGTGTATGTGCCTCTTTGTCATCATGAGTTTGTACTTATGCTGTAATTAGATCTTTCGGCTTAGCAATCCCCTAGTGTTTGAACATATAAGGATCTGAGATTCGCGTCCCAGGACGACGAGATACGAGTTGAGTTGGAGTTCCTCGGCGCAGTTTGCATGTCTTTCAACTTTCAACGCCCATTGGTGCATCAAATGCGCAGTCGGCCGGATTGCAGGACTTGTGCCAAGGCTTTTATAAGGACTTATTTGGCTGGCCTAACTCGAGCTTTGGGGTGTCAATCTCAGCTGCCTTTCTAGGGGGCCTAGGGGGACGTGCCTAGTTCAGTTGCGAACATGATGCTAACAGCAGAAAAGGGCCTACTACGGGAGATCTAAAGCTTGACATTTGTTCACCGCTGCTCATGTGAGCCCTGCAGCTGAAACACCGGTGAGTTCGACTGCGATGGGACACCGTTGCCAGAGATGGGAACCTTCCGGTTGGTCACTGAGCCTCGGGATGTGACGCGCCTGGAGGATGTGACCGACTCAAAAGGTTCTCCCCGAAGATCACGAAGATCACGTCTCGTCCATGTATAGATTGTATTAGATTGTTTCTACACATTGGATTTGAGATGTTCAGTTTTCAGGCCCATCACACACTTCACGGGAAGTTCTGGTACTTTTAACATTATGAGGATGTCAGTGGGATCTTCTGCTGGACAATGGACTTGCATGGATTCATGGATCCGAGGATGTTTGTTTCAAAGTAAGCAGGTTAGGCACAAGCACATGTTGCAGGTGGAGCTTACAAGCTTCAGACGAGCCATTACTTTTGATGGTGCTTGTGCCCCCTGCTCACGTGTGCCGTCCAAGAAATCGAGTTTTTTGATCGCTGCGGCCAAACTAGCCAAGGCTGACATGGGATCATTACTTGGGGCTCCTTTTGTGCAAATAAAGAAGCCAGACTGTTGCACGCGGCACTGCACCATGCCCCCGCACTGCTCCTTGTTGTTTTAAGATGAGCTCTTCTTTTGGAACCCGTGTCCTGAGTGATGCTGCATGACACGGCGGGGGTATCCCCAGCCTCCGCCCCGTCGTCTTTGGAGCGGCGCTGGTCGCCTGCGCCCCTCCAACGCGCCCCGTCGAGGGTTTTGGCCATGGTTTATATAGTTGAGGATTTGGTAGGTGAGTGAGAAGCAAAGTTTGAAGAACCAGGAAGAACCGTTTTTATATATAATATATATATATATTTATATAAATGATATTACTGTAAACATGCATTTTTAATCTGAATGCCATCAGGGCAATGTCATTCGATTTGACAATTTGATTCGGATTTGTGGTCCCACCCAACTGTGGCACAGGGCTTAATGACCTGTGACATGTCTACATGTTCAGTGTCAGGAACTTCATGATGATGCCATTGTATGGAGTAGGCAGAATGGGGAGTTGTTTTGGGCATTTGGTTTGTTCTTTTATTTTGGGTTAGGATTTAATTTACAGGTCATTGCACTCTGTCCTGTATCTTCTTGGCTTACTGTGTGGTGATGTTCAGGGGTTAGCAACATTGGATACAAATTCCCACTCAGAAATTTTGTGCAGTGTGAGGGCCTCCCCTTGCAGTCCACAGGGGGATAATTGATTCAAATATATTCATTTGCTCCAGAGTATCTACAGGATAACGAGCGACGATTTCACCTTGACTGGCCTCAGATCCTGCGAGACGGCGGCGCGGCCGGCGGTGCTCAGAGTCACATGCACTCGACCGTTTTTTCCGGGAGGGCACGACTTCAAGGCTTCGGCAAAGGCGATCTGGAAAAGGATGGATGCAACAGGATGCACCCCTGAAATCTTGCTATCCAGTCATTGTTACTACTAGTAAGGCACCTGTTACTACTAGAATGGCACCTGTTACTACTAGCGTGGCACCTGTTACTACTAGCTATCCAGTCATCCAGTTGATATCTTCCATGGAGTTTTCCATGGTCTCCGTATGTCTCCGTTCATAGATTCGCGAAACATGGCACCCATGAGACTTCAGAAGGGGGACACTTGGTCTCCCATCAGTGGCCGATCCAGATCCCTCAAGAGGACTACGAATCCGCCCAGCCCACCCTTGGCATTCGCGAAGAAAAGAGCTGCTTGTCACCTGCGCGCTGTTGCCGCGCGACATGAGCCACTTACAGATTTCTAGCTGAGGTGGTGGAAAGGAGGGATTTTCCGGCTCAACCAGTTTGCTTGTTTCTCGCCGACGCCGAACTGGCTTCCAGCTATTCGGGAACCAAGCCCAGACTGGTCACTTAGCACCATTCTGGAGGCAAGGGCGCAGGCTGGTGAGCAGCGATGAGCCGCGACACAATTCTTCACTTGGGATCCGGTTGCTGTTGCGGTTGATGGGCGTGAAGTTCTAAAGAAATGTCGTGGCCTGCCAAGTCCTTCTCGAGAACTTGAGGCAACTGAGAACTCATCGAGTTATGTTCGGGCGATCGACATCGTCTCGCGCCGCAGGATGAACGCCCCAAGAAGACCCAGGGCCAGCACACCCCGAAGAGGTCCTGCCCGGGCGCTTGGTCCGCTATGATATGGCGCAAGATAAGAAAGGCGATTCGTTGAAAGAGATTGCCTTTGAAGGGTTTGATACGGCCTGGTGTGTGGAACTAGTGACTATAGTGGATCCCAAACCTGCATCATGCGTGTTGAGTCTTGAGATCATTCATGTCCGCATATATATATATATGCATATGTATGTATGTATGTAGGTATGTATGTATGTATGTATGTATGTATATATATGTGAGCAACCACCTTTATTTACTACGGCATGCTATTTGCTTGTCTATCATCAGTATTCGCTTGGAACGAGATAGGCCCCCACATAAACGAGATACTTTTGCTTGATGACACTAAGTAGTCTGAACGAGATAGTGTGATCAGTGATCTGCTACTAAAGTAGTTTGAACGAGATACTGTGACATGACCTCCTACTTAAGCAGTCTAAACGAGATAGGGCCCCACATGATAGATTTTCTAGTGTATTTGAGTTTAGTACCAAATAAATGCCGCGGCACATTATCTACAGTATATAGTTATAAATATATACGATTCGATAATATACTGTATACAGATGTGTAATTGATCATAACTAACTATATATTTAGAGGTGATGTAGAGATAGTATTTGGCATGAACAAGTAGTGACAATCAACATGTCATAATATTACATCAACACTGCACCTTAGTGTTATATACAAGTGACTGTCGTCATTGCTAATTCCTGCTAGTCTCTTCACATGCTCCAGTTGGAACGTCACCACTCTTATGGCACATTGCTATGGCACATTTGCCTTACTTTTGAACATGGACGCGGATCCTGAAGACAATCCCTTGTGGAAGAGCATCTTGCACTCCGTTATTTGCTGGAGCCGATTCAGACTGGAGCCCCGCTGTGCGCAAAGGTTCATGTTCGAAATGGGCTTGGTCCGGTGGAGGACCGCACCAGTGAATGGGAGGCTGAAGGAGAGCAATAGGTGCTGATGATGAATTGCTCCTGGGGCAAGACACCTTGTGCGGAAAGAATCTGGGAGAATCTTTAAGTCTTTGGATCGTAGGACATGCAGTCGTTTGATGTGATAGAAATGCTACAATAGTCCTTTTTTTGAAATCAAC